AAACAGAACCAAGAAAATTTCAAGTTCTCTAGGGTTGCAATAAAGGAGCCTGCTGTGAACTACTCAGAATAAATTGTAATCAGCTTTAACATATTGGAGCTAGCTTTGCCCTCTAGTCAACTATAAGCTTTCAGGCACATGGCAAGCAGTAAATAATACCCCAAAATAGACAAGTAAATTAGAAATGCTGTTTATCAGATGTGGTGGATGACATTTTGGAATCGCAATGTAGGTAATAAACAGGGTTAAGAATAATTTACTTAACTAACAGAATTTATGAGCACTCTGAAATTAAGAATTTGTGTGATTAGATTTTTGGTCTTGCTGCTTAATATCATCAGAATTTGTGTGGACGACAAACCTTCAAAAAGGACCCGAGAACTGCTTCAGCTACACAAATTCCTTGCAAAAACCTCCTTTAGGGTGTTAGTTGCAACACCACATCTGCAACAGTTCTGAGAAAACATTTGTCATCCCATAAAAAATCCCTTAATCTAAGCAAGTGGATGAGAATAAATGAACAAGCTAATCTGCCTTGACAAATGTGTCAGATATTCCCTCAGTGTTTCTTCTTTAGAGAAAATGAAAAGATTCTCGTTACATCAGTGTTTGCGTTTTTACCCTTTTACTTAATAACCAAAGAAAATCTTGCACAGTCAGGTGAAGGCAGTGAAGCCCATGTAGAGACTTCCCTTTAAGATGCTCTGATGGGACTACTGTAATTTAGATGCGGCACCTGCTGAATTACTGGGGGACGCTGCTGAAAATGTACTGTACCCATACTATTGTGACTACTGGTGTGCTTCCAGCCAGGGAACTGGAAGTCACACTGGCATATAAAGTCACACCAACAATGGAATCTTGATTATGTATTATCACCTGACAAGATAATACTGCTCCTGGATCTTGAGGGATAGTGGATAGGGAGCAGGAGTGCCTAGAAGACAGGAAATCGCCCACTGATGCTGCCATCCTGAGAAGGAGAAAGCAGGGACTTGGCACCCTATGCAGCTGCTCCCCACAGTCCCTGGCTGAAGTGGGGCAGGAGAGATCCTAGGGTTTCCCCTGCTCCTTGGACAGTGGAAGACAGCAGCAGCAGCAGGCTTCCAGTTCTCCTGCTCCTTACCTGCCTCTGGATGTCCCCTGCAGTCTGGGAGCAGGTGGTGGATGGGCAGAGCAGCACACCCCGTCACTGTCCCTGGCCAAGTGAGGCACCTCATGCTGTGGCTTACCAAAGATTCTGGCTGGAGCCACCAGCACCAAGGAGCGGATACTCCTCCTTGCACCCCGAAGCAACCCCTAGAAATCCCCTGCTGGAGAGGGGGAGAGGGAAATGAGAGAAGGGAGGTTCCTGCACTGGAGGGGATGCTGAGAGTGGTGATGGTAGAAGGGATGGGGTGTTTACACGCTGTAGAGACTACAAAAAGTTCACAGCAGCGGCTGCCATGGCACAGTCTGCCTGCAGGGGAGGTCAGAGGGGGAAGGGGACCATTTCCTCTGCTGCACTGATGACATCTCCCATACTCCCCTTTTCACATTCCTGGATCCACCCATGCAGGTGTGTAATAGCATATCTGACTAATTTCTATATTATCATTATTTTTTTATTGCTTTACTTATGTTCTCCCACCATGCCCATCATCGCAGTGTTTTATCATCTTGTCACACGCCCAAGTACTTCCCATGACTAAAAGTGCTTAATTTAAGAGATCTGATGAGATCATTGCCCATGGCAGTAGAGTAGCTTCTCATACTTACAAAGCAAATTACAGGCTGATTTGTTTGTAGCAGGATCCATCCAAAGAAAAGGCAAGCAAGAATAAAACTTTGCCTCCTTTACAGAGTTTGATTACTGTTGCATGGAGTCCAAGTAACCCTTCTCCTTGCTACTTGAACACAAAAGAGAACTGACTATTTCTATGCAGCAAGCCACAAAAAAAGAAAAAATAGTTCAGTCATGACCATAATTAGAGTATTCCATGAGATCTCAAAGTGTAGCACATGTACCACTTCTGCTTGCTATTCCATCAAATCACTTCAGGATTAATTCTGAAGGGGATAATATGCAAAAGAAACATCAGAAAGCCTAGCACTTAAAATATGTAATTAACCAAAATAAGTGGGGATGTGACCCCAGGTTCTAAAACTGAGCATATATCCTCCCTTAAAAGGATTTATTAGTAAGATGACCTTAGCACAAGTGTATTAACTACCAAGTCGCTTCCCATTGTCCATTTAATTTGCTATTATTGTCCTGTGGTCTAAGATTATTCTGAGAAAGTTTTTATTTAAGTTTCTGATCCCAAACTCCACTGAAGTCAATAGGAATCTCTCCTAAACTTTATATTTTCACTGTACATTAATCCAGCAGTGAACAAGCCTCTTGCAACTAAAACGTATGCCCAAAACAAGTGACAAGACAGAGAAACAAACCAATGCAATGCTATTCTTCTGGTCTAATGCAGTGGTGGGTAATTATTTGGGTTGGTGGGCCACTTAATGAGTTCTGGTGACCTGCTGAGGGCCACATCTCACCCTCTATCTCCCTCCTTTTTGGTGCCGAAACCAGCATGGAAGCCTGAACCCACCTGCAGGATTACCATGCCCCGGCTCCCAGAGTCCAGGTTTGGGCTCCAGGTACTGGGGGAGGTGGTCAGGGCTTGCTACAGGTGTAGGCTGAGACCAGCGTCGAAGCCTGAACCCATCTGCAGCTGTAGCATGCTTTAGTGCTGGTGGCAGCCCAGCCCAGCCAAGAGACAGCAAAAGAGAGAGATCACACGTGCACAAGCAAGCAAGTACGCCTGCACACTGGAAGCGGCATGGTCACCTGGCACCACACAGCTGCCAGAGCTGCCACCTGCCTGTGGGCCGGATCCATTCACTTGGCGGGCACCTCCCCACAAACCAGATCCAATCAGTTGGCAGGCTGTATTTTACCCACCCCACTCTAATACTATTTAGAAAACATACCCTTATTCCCTATGCAAGATTTTATGATGCGTTGTGGCAGGACAGGGCCTGGGGGTCCGTGACCTCCCCCCGGCGCCCCTACCTTCCGTGCCAGATTGTTTCCTGATGCACCCTCAATAACTCGCCCGCCTTGTCTTTGATGTTCGGTTCATTGAAGGGAGGCTGCCTTTCTGCCTCCCTGGCATGGTGCCTCTGACGCTCGCACTTCTCACGCTCGCCCCCTCCTGGGGCTCCCCGATAAGCTCGCCCCCTTTCTGGGGCCTCCCAATAAGCTTGCCCCTCCCAGGGCTCCTCAACCAAACTCGCCCCCTCCTGGGGCTCCTCAATAAGCTCGCCCCCTTATGGGGCTTCTCCCGTACAGACACTGCCCCACTGGGGCCTGTCCCTCCGTGCTCACGCTCCCACCCAAACTGGGGTCCTTCTCGCGTCTCTCGTGCTCCCCGCCCACTCTCGGGCCTTGCTTGTGCTTCTCGCCCTCGGGGCTCAGGCAGCCTTGGCCTCCCCTGGCCCCAGACCCCTTCCTCAGGTCCTACGCCCACTGTGCTTCTCCCAATCATTGCCCACCCTGGGGCCAGGATCGGGGCATCCCGTTGAGGCCTCCTCCAACCCCTACAGCCTCACCCTATCCTCCGGTGACACACAACAACCAAAACCATAAGCACAAAACCCCTGGGCTATAACAAATTCCCAGCCAACCTGGCTTGTTTCCATATACATCCCCATCAGGGTTTTCTCGAGCTCCTACCTCCTTGGCAACCAAAGGGGGACTGGGCTCTGGCCTCGGCCTATGCTGTTTATAAGGGCCAGGCCCTGCCCCCTTCCGGTCGGCTGACCAGACCGGTTGTCACGGCAACCCGCACCTGAGCTCATAACACTATCTCCAGTAGTGCCCTGCTACATGCGTTCTTTAGACAACTGTTTTGTCTACTGATTTCACACCTGGAACATGACTAATTTATAATGACATTAAACTGGTTTATTTATTGTACAGAATTTGCTCCACCAAATTTTGCTACTTTCCAAATAAATTCGTTTTAAATTATTTAACCAGCTTTAATAATAAGTGTTTGTAGTGCAAGTCAAGCTAAAAACCCTTGAAGGCTCTGGAAGCCTGACAGTTTATTTTTTACTTTGGAAATTTCCACATACTAAAAACAAACCAAAAAATGCAACATCACTGTTTCAGGTTCGATATGTTAATAATCTACAATATAAAATCTTTGGAAAACCAACATTTCCTTTTCATTTTAAATTTATCTGAATGGTTCTCAGGTCTCACAAAAAATGTGTGCAGGCATTAACAGTGTACAGCTTACTGTGGTTAAGTGCTTAGTTTCAAGATTTCACTTAGCTGAACTTCATGTAAACAATACTCATTAATGCTACTGCACTGTAAGTGTTGTGGTTTTACAGCCCCCAAACTAACTACCTCATCATGTCAAGGCTTCCAACAGCAGTCATGAGACTGAGTTGCTCCCATCCAGTTGAAAACTTCTAAAAGCATCCATTGACATCTACTTCCCTTTGCCATTTTTTATGCAGTTAACCAAAGTAAAATTATATTGCAAGTTAGGGTTTAACGATGCACTACACAGGGCTGAAACACGTACCATCCAGGTAAACATTTCATGCAAATGTTATTTGCTGTAATGCAAGCAACAGGCAAAAAACTTGGATTGACATTGTGTTATACAGTTAAGTGAAATACACCCATATCTACATGTATAAGTACAGCAATTCTCAAACGTCCTAGTCACAGAGCCCTTTTATATCATTTCTGCCACAGCACCTTTATCTCTGGCTCTGCAGGCTGCACGAACCAATGTAGAGACAGATGACCTGGCCAGGCAATGGTGGCACACCACCTCCAGGCCTGCTCCACCATTACCCTCAAACTCTTTGGCAAACCCCAGGTTTCTGCAGAACACTGAGAACTACTGCATAGTGAAATATACTATTAAAGAAGTGTCCACAGGGATAATAGATACTCAATTCACAATGGCAATAGAGCAGAAAAAGAGGCAGCTTACTGTTGCATGTGATATGGTAAGAATTCCATTTTTGACAGTGCACTTCCTTCTTTGCCACACCTTCCTTAACCTAAAATATTAAAAATAAAATGGCAATATATAAATAACCAAACATAACTGCTGTTCTTCCTTTAGGTCGTCTTTACTGCATTCTTAAAGAGAGAAAGCCTAGCTGAAAATGTGTATTAATCTGTTGACTTTTTAACCAAATTAGCCAGTCTACATACACCTCTGACAGACCAATCAATCCAGGTAAAATGTTTAAAATACCTAAATCTCCCCCGTCAAAAGTGACTTAAAGACTTAATGACCTTAGTCTTCTGCAGTTTAATGAGACTTTAGTGCCAAGTCACTTTAAAATAGGACTTACAATACAAGACGCTTAGATGCTTTTGAAAACTCTAACACTCTACCTTTATGCTTTATTACTACATTGACTGCATTAGGTTTTATTAAAATATAAACCAATTACATTTTTCCTGACCAGGTGGGCTGAATTTTTTTATGCTAAAAAAAGAAAAGACAGGCAAAATTTCTCAAGACTGCCACATCCAAAGTTGCTTTGGCTTGACTGAAGTTTTTCATTGTGTCTCCATTTTATATAAATGAAAAAATATTTCTACTTTGTATTCACTTCAAAGTTAGCAATTCAAGCCCCTAGTATACATTTGATTGAAAAATCCTAAATGAAGTTTCTCTTCAAAAAGGAAATACATATATAAAATGGCTTATATGTATCAGATTGTTTATAAGCCTCCAAAGTACTTCAGAGTGATTAGAATCCTACTGTAGTTGTGTTTTATTCAATAATCTGGGTTAATTTCTAATTTCAACAAAATTATATTTTTATGAATTCTAGACTCCAAGTTTTTCTCATCTTCTACCTGAGAATAGGGAAGTCTGTACTCAAAAATGATAGTTACCTGAAGGCTAATATTTTTCAAAGAGTGAAAACAATTTTAATTTTCTTTTAGAAAGTTCAAAGCAGAAAACTGAATGCTGTCCATCTCCTATAGCATATTTATGTATTAAAGCTATGTGAGTCAGCAACTTTCACTCTCTACTCCCTGAAAAAAGTGCTGCTCAAATTCTACTTCTTTGACCGAGCCACCTCTTATGCATGTCTTAAAACAATTGCACAGAACAAAAAATCCACATAATCCCTCGTACCTTAACACTAATGTCTGATTCAAGAACACTGAGAAGGTATTACGGACATTTCTGTTTTCTTTTCCCTATATTCCCCTCACTTGAGTCCCCCAGCATGTTTTGCAGCCCCATGCTGGGCTGTGCTGTCTGCTCCAGAGAGCAGAGCTGGCCCTGCCCCTCTGCTCCCTAGCTCGAGCTCACTGGCCCCCACAGGCAAACCCCAGCTGGGGTCTGGGGCCAGGGAGGGAGGTTAAACTCCCCTTTCCCTGAGGATGGATCTGCCCTGCCCACTGCTGGCTGTGACTGTGAACTACAAATCCCAGAAGCACCTAGAAGCATGAAGAGGAAGTGATGAGCAACCCTGCAGAGTCTTGCCACTGTGATAGTGGATCGCAAATCCCAGAGACCTCAGGGGCAGCAGAAAGAGGAAGCAAACACACAGCCCATGCTGGGTATGTGCCAGATAGCCATGCTCCAGCATTCCCTGGCTTCTGGCCTGAGCCACTGCAGGCATAGGGCTGCATTTCCTGAATCAAAAGTGAATGTCTGTTCATTTGCTTATTGGTTCAATCTTCACAGCTTAGACTAACCTGCAAAGACTGAATCCATTCAGCCATGGGCTTTTTGACTGCCTGTACTTGGCCCATAAGACAGTGCAGTTACCATCTTACAGTTGGTTCAATATCCTCTTTGAAATGAGCTGGTGATCTCCAAACACTTCAAGATTCTAATACTAAGCCATGTTTTCCTTAAAACTTTTATTTACGTCAATAGCACTTACAAGCCATAAAAATCAGAAAAATTAACATCACATCTGCTTTTGAACTTACAAATTAAAAAAAAAGTTAAGACATATATTATATAGTATGAATGTTATGTAATTCAAGTACCTACCCATCACTCTTCTTTAAGAGATAACCTTTCTTCTCACTACCATACTCCTTATTTCCCTGAAGCTGATGCATACTGTATCCTCCTTGCCTGCTTTGGGAATCCTATGAAGGGGAAAAAAAAACCATAAAAAAACCCCTTAAAACATATAATAAATTCTGCTATTCTCTAAAATGTTACTCAATTTGTTTCCATTCTTCCCCCTACCCTACCAATTTTACAAATTAACTGAAGGTTCAGAAAGCAAAGAGTTATAGGTAACATTTAACAGCTAGGCATGACCTCTTACATTAGCCAACCTTCCCTTTATTGAATATCCTCAACTCTTACAAATGTCATTGAGAATTCTGAGCATACTAAGAATATATGTAATGAAGACTAATGTCAGAGAATACTTTAATGAAAGGCTAATCTGAAATAACAAAAAGCAACTAAATTTCATATACATATACGAAATATTCATCCTTAACACTAATATTCATCCTTAATTTTAAACCAGTTTAAAAATACACATTCTGTTAATGTTTTCTAATGAATGAAGCCATCTCAACATTTTAAATCTAATGAAGCAAACAAGTAAGATTTAAAGTGTTATCAAATTCACTAGAGAAATGAAGGCTCATTAAAACATTGACTTACTCTCCTAGACTTCAATCAGGAAAGGCAAAAGCAATATAGGAAAGAAAAAGCAAATAATTGAAAAAGAGAATTATTTTTCTTCATAATATGCTTCTAAATTTATATTTTGCAGTCTCATCATCTAAAAAAGAGTCTATAATCCCCTCACAAGTGATACCCAACACTGACAGGAAAAAACTACAAAATTGTTTAGTGACTTCATAGCCTTTGCTTACCAAGATAATACGGTAAAATATTGTACCACATAATTTTGTTAATAATAATGAACTGGAATACAAAGTCATAACAAAAAAGATAGAAATAGGATTATGAAATAATTTAAACTTATAAAAACAAACAATTTTTTGGCACTTCGCTGAGCAAAGAACTGGTTTGCACTTATTGGTGAAGGTTTTATAAACAAGAGCAATATAATTAAAGAGTGTAATTATGAAAATGATTCACATGAACATTATTTGTGTGTGAATGTCATTTTTTTGGTGACAATTACTAGGAGTAGAAATTACTAGTTGAAGTAAAAGATAACAAGATCAGATTTTAAGATTTTAGTTATGCATCTTTTATACCTTGATTAAATATTGAAGGTTCTAAATAACTGTACTTCATCCTCCACAGATGGAAGGATGTATATTTAAATGGATACCACCAATTAGTTCTGGCTGAAGAATTATACATTATAAAAATCAATTTAAATAAAAAAATTATAATATTTATTAAATAAAAATATTAGAAAAGTCTTTGTGAAAGTCAGGTACAGAAATAACAGACAGAACCGCACACATGTACGGTACTGAAAACTGAAGGCATCTGACAATATAAAATTATTTCTTCACTCTCAAACTTACATACTAAATTATTTTAACTACTATTCACCCCATATTACTTCACTGCAATTTCACTCTTCTTCCTCAACCTGCTCTTACACAACAAATGCTCCTTCCCAGTGCTATTGCTAATGGATGTCAACTGCAATATAGTATCAACTGGCAGAGGGAAATTTGGCACAGGGTAAGAAAGCAGACAAAAGACTTCTAAATGTGTACATCGTGCTTACTTATACCATTTTGGTGTAAAAGGAATCAACTGACACATTGTAAAACTTTAGTTATTGACCAGGGATCCTTGTTTTTTCTCTAAAATGCCAAATTCTCTGATAAACCCCCTCCCCAAAAATCCATGTTCTTTCACAATGAAAATAAAACACCACTATATATAGGTATCAGTTGAACACAATGTTTTACTGATATATTTACAATAATAAAGCAATTTGGAAGTCTATCAGTGCCTCAATCATTACAAAATAAATTCTAAATACCTATATATTTTGGTGTTTGATCTTGGTTTTTTTATCATGAAAAAATCAGAGCTTCCTGCCCCCTTTGCTCATCAGGACATGGGTCCAGCTGCAGCAGCTGAGCCCTACCGCTGCTCTGTGGCGCTGAGCAACCCTGATATGCCAATGCCCCTCACTCCCCAACCACAGCCCACCTGCCCAGCCCTGCTAGCATGACCTGCAGGCAGAGCTGGCCTTAGGGGTGGCCAGTGAGGACAACTGCCCAGGACACCAGGGTGGACAGAGTGTCATGGCATCTCAGGACAGGGCACTGCCTCAGCTTGGGCGGCACTGGAAGAGGAGGCAACCCAGGGATGCCCCTCACTTGCATCCCCCTGCCCTACCAGAGGGGGCACCAGGGTATCATAAATAAAACCAGTCCCAAATAGTGAAGAATATCCACAATGGCTATGTTCTTCTATCCATGCACAGAACCTTTGTTGCGTTTACATTTCCTCTTCCACCACAGATCCTCTCGAAAGGTAGAATCCGTGAGAAATAGTACTCTGTGATAATAGAGGGTGGTGTGCTTTTTTGTGTGTGGTTACATTAGCATTTTTCAAAGTATAAGATGGGTGTTTTTCCCCAAATAAGAAAGCTTAAACAAATAATTTATGCACAAAATTACAGAGGCTAGCTACAACAGTTCAAAACAAAACATTATCAGTCATAAAAGAGACATTACTACTATAATGCCAGCACTCTCTACTAATTATTTGTACACGCATACCTCGGAGATATTGCGGGTTCGGTTCCAGACCACCACAATAAAACGAATATCGCAATAAAGCGAGTCACACGAATTTTTTGGTTTCCCAGTACATATAAAAGTTATGTTTACACTATACTGTAGTCTATTAAGTGTGCAATAGCATTATGTCTAAAAAAAAACAACGTACATACCTTAATTAAAAAAATACTTTATTGCTAAAAAATGCTAACCGTCATTTGAGCCTTCAGCGAGTCGTAATCTTTTTGCTGGTGGAGGGTCTTGTCTCGATGTTGATGGCTGCTGACTGATCAGGGTGGTGGTTGCTGAAGGTTGGGGTGGCTGTGGCAATTTCTTAAAATAAGACAACAATGAAGGTTGCCACAAACCTTCAATTTGTAAAAAACGCAATATCTGTGAAGCGCAATAAAGCAAAGCGCAATAAAACGAGGTATGCCTGTATTATGTATCACTAATTAATGTGGTAGGGAATAAATTTTATGAAGAATAAGTTCAATTAGAAAGATGGTCTGAACACATGAACTACTGCAAGGGTATGCACATGAACACAAGGGTTAAGTACAAGCAATAAAAAAGCCCCGGGTGGAATCGACTCAGTCTACACAGCTTCATCCAAGCTGCGTCAAATGAACCGCTAAACATACTGAACCGACCTTCAGTTTTCAATTGGGAAATACAGGGGGAGGCCTGCAATGTCCCTGGTCAAAAGGCAGGGGCACTAGAGCATGCCTTCCAGCCTGCTGGCCATTGGGAACCCAGCCAAGCAGGGCCATTCCCAACTGGCTGCCCTGCACACAGCCCCTAGCCTCCTGCTGTTCTTCTGCAAGGGGTTTAGGAGCCCCAAGCCCAGGGGCTGGCCCACCTGGCAAAAGCCTCCATCCTGGGGGGTTTTCCAGCCCAGGGCAGCCCTGGGGAGAGGAGGGGAATTCCCACAGCTGCTTGCCTCAGCCACTGCCACAGGGAGGAGGGAGAAGGAGACCTCTGGGTCAGTGCCTGCCTGTGCAGCCCAGTGTGGTGGCACTGGGGAGCCCCTGCCTTGCAGGACTTCCTTCTGCCCCAACCCAGAGTCCCCCAGCCAAGGCAGCCCTAGGGAGCTGAGGGGAATTGTCTACCCCCTCCAGACATGGCTGTTTGCCTCAGATACCTTTCCCCTCCCTCCTGCGGTAGTGGCTGAGGCAAGAGCCATGAGGAAGAGGGGAATTTCTCCAGCTATCTGGGGCTGCCTTGAGCAGGGGTGTAGCTGGTGCTGGGCCAGAGGTGGCAGCTGGCGGGAAGGAAGGGCTAGGGTGATGCCAGCCCCACCGTGTGGCCTTTCCCTCCTCCTGTGCTGGGAGACCCAGCTAGGAGGGCCTGGGGGTCCATTCCCTTGCCCCATCCTACCAGGCTGACAGGTGCAAGCAAGATGCAGAGTAGGGAGCAGAAGCTCTACTGCCTCAACTCTGTGACAGGTGGGGTGGGGCTGGCTCTGCTTTGCTGGAGCAGGCAGCACAGCCCATGGCTGCAAAGCAGCCTGGGATGCTGGGGGGACTGTGAGGTAACTTGAGTCAGGAGTAGATCCGAGACAGTTCCATAAGATGGTTTAACCTAAATCAGTTAAATCTGATACTACATTCATCCGGGATTATCTTAAAACTGGGTTCATCCATTTTGAAACTGGTTTATGTGTGCTGAACTTCTGTTCCGTTACAGGCTTAAACTGGTTTCTGATCACTAAAATCGATTTATGTGCAACTTCTGTCCCTAGCCAAGGTGTTAAGCAGATGCATTCAATGCTAAAATCTGCATAAAGGCACAGTCTCTTCTTTCACTGGAAGGATAATAGTTAGCGTACATGACCCTGAAAGTTCAAGGAAGTAGAAACAATTTCCATTTTTACTATTGTAAAATAATTTGGGAAAAGAAAAATAAATAATTTTGAGAATTATGATACAACTATCAAAATGCTCATCAAGAATGATAGGCAGGCGGCAAGGACACAGCACCACCACCCACCGGCCCACACTGCTGCCGCTCCGTGTCCAGCCGCATACAACCCTCCAACCCCCGTGTGCCCCCCCAAACACACGCCCATACACACACAGCCACATGCCACACCCACCCAGCCACACACCACATCACACCCACCCAGCCACACGTGCTACAGCCAGCATGTGCTGCCCACGCACCCCACACCCACTCCCTGTGGCACCCTGCAGCCACGTGTCATGCCTCACCATGTGCCACACCACACTGCCCCCAAGGTCACAAGCCACACCTTTCACCGCCCCCCACATCTCTCTACTTCAAACCCTAAATCCTTTCAGGCACAGCAACCACTCTTGTTTCCTTTATAATCAGTATGCGATGAGTGGACTGCACCTGAGTGAATCC